TTTACAGAGAAAATTCCTAAAAATATACTGAAAGACTCCAATGCTAAAAGCTAAATAAAAAGACAACAGATTGTATTGGTTTTTGTCTCTCAATCTTTGGGTCAAATGCAGGATTTTTTTAAACAATTTGAATTTGTAATACTGAGAATAATGAGAAAGTGCTTACATTACCAGAACCTAATCAGCAGAATCTGAGAAACTACATTTAAATGTTTCTTTGGAAGTTTTTATTTGGCAGAACAAAGTAACTGTTTGTCTCAAGTACAAAAATGCTGTTGAGAAGAAAATCAAGCTGGCTGGGAATCTGCAAGCTTAGGAATTCTTCTACTCTGTATTCCACTGTAGTTGAATCATCTTACTTTTTAAATGGCTACATAATTTGGATTACAGTGTTTCTGAAGCTATGTAATGGGCAGCAGTTCTCATGAAAAAAATCCCATTGCCAACTTGCTACCATGTTATGACACTGCTGTCCATAAGAGGTAATTATGAAAAGGAAGAGAATCTGACAATCACAAGTTTTGAGCTCTGACTTTTCCCATTGATTTTAACATAACATACATTTGCCTTTCTAAAAGAAGGAAATTTTTTCAAAGGAATTAAGTGTTCGATAATAATTGTTGTGGTTTTTTTTTTTCTCCTCTCTAGTGTTCATAATGGCTTCTGGGCTTCTGGTTTACCCTTTTGGTTTCAACTCTGCTACTGTGAAGAGATTCTGTGAGAATTCAGACATCTACTATGCAGGAGACTGCCAGATTGGCTGGGGGTATATGCTGGCAATTGTTGGGGTCATGTTGTCTGTCTTTTTACCATTCTTTGCAAAATATGCACCAAAAGAGCACATATCTCCAACTCCAATACCTACTATTTTATAGTATTTTATTACTGTTTAAGAACAGAACATTCCTGTCTACAGGCAATGGGCAGAAATTATTATAGCACTTCCATTTAGCTGTATTGCTAAAGAGAGAAGAGAGGAGCTGGGGAAGAGAAGGTCAGATTCACAAAGACCAAAAGTGCATTGCTAGTCTTCCGTAAGTATGAGCAGCGAACACTCTGGAATGGAAATAACATTAATCAGCAGCCTTTATACTGCTCTAAACATATAGTGGCATAATGCCTTAGACAAAAAAAAAAAAAATCTGTTTATCCTCAAAACATCTGTCTACCTCCCAGTTTCTTTTGTGTCTCAAAAACGTCTTTTAAAAACTTCAATTCACTTTTTATATATTATTAAATGTCAAAACTTTTATGAACCCAATAATTTTAAAATCAGTAATGATATTTTGTTACAATTATTTTGATTAGTGAAAAAGTACCTACTAGTAGCCACAGCCTAAAATTAAGCTTGATATTTAAAAAGAATTGTATGCAAGGAAAAAGTTTCTTTTTAATCTATATGTACTAGTAGTACCTGCATATTGTAAGTTGTCGGCACACTTTGTAATACTGGTGTAATCTTCAAGATTTAGAGTCATCTTCATGAAGACTTGCATCAAATTTAGATTACTTTTTTTCAGAGAGAGAGAGAGAGAGATCTAACTACTTCCAAAGGCTTCATGATGATTTAATAATTTAACAGGGAAAAAATTGCTAAGAATTTGTTTTCAGTATTTCTTAAATTATAATTTTAGGTGGATGTTTACAAAATTATTTGAACTATTACAAGTGTAGATTTGGCGTTTTGTTGTTTGCTTTTTAAGGCCAAAAAGAAAAAAATAATCTCTGTTTACAAAAATGTATGTGCCCGATGACCCTTATATGTAGTTATAACCCACACCAGAATGAACTAGATTCTAATATTTCCATTACTATTAAGAGCCCGTTATTGAAGAAAAAAAAAAAAAAAATGAAGTGAAATGAAATGCTACTGAAGTGAAATGAAATGCTACAGAACACGACTAACAACAATCTGATGCCGTGTCAGCACTAGCCAATGGCCATATTTCATGAGTTTGTATGTGAAATTTGTGAAGTCTGATTTCCACGATAGCACTGAATTCATTACTATCAAGCACTGAAATAAGTGCACTTGATTGCCTTAAGCAAAAGAAACATTGGGTTCTAACGTCACCCCACTGTTATGTTTTTCATTTAAAATAAAAATTGAATTCTAATTCTATTCTCATCTTTTATTTTCTATTATTTATTAAAAAGGAAATAATCACATAGATTATATTTAATTCAGAGCTGTACTTCTTAGTTTTGTATTTTGGCACAAACCAAGTGATCAAATTTATTATTCTTCACTTAGCTGAGTCCAACTGATTCCTGAATTTTGCTTTATTTTTTTATTGGGAAGTGTACATGAAGGGACAGACAGAAACATGTTGAGGATGTATAAGAAAATGCAAACAGATAGAACAATCACTGTGTTATTTTAATAAATGTCAAAGACTTCTGCAGTCTTGTTTACATTCCTCACCCTTCTAAACTTCAATGGAATGTTGCATTGTTTTCCAAAATAATTGTCTGTTATATTTTCGTGCACTCTAAAAGCAAATTCTGCACGTAAACTTAGCAAATTCCATCACTAATCTTTGAAAGTACAGATTTCAATGTAGAAATAAGTACACTGAGAAAGAGAGAGCACGTGCTATGCATTTTTGCTCGCAGTGACTAAGGAATTACATCATCCAAATATTTAACAAAATAGATTGAAGGAATGCCTCTAAAGTAAGAACAATAAATTTCAGTCACTTATGTATAGTAATGTAGTTTTCAGTAATGTCTTACACTTTTTTTAATGAATGGCTGAAATTAGTAATTTTCTTACACGAGTCAGAAAAGTGAGGAATAACAAACAACATGTAAAAAGAAAATCATCACCGCAAAGAGGAGAGACAGAGATGCAGGCTTTTCTTTCCTAACCAACCTGTGCCTTTACCCTAGAACCATTATACAAGACAGGATCAATATGGTTAAAAAAAACCAAGCAACCAACAACTGAAAAATGTTGAGTAATGTGTATAAACTGTATTACGTAGGGTTTTTTCTGTTTTGTGTAATGTTTACGACTGTTCACTCAATGTTTCACTAGAAAAAGTGATTTGTTAGTGTAAAGTAGAAAACTTTTCTTGCAAAGATCTAAACACTTACTGAAAGTAAAATTATTTTACATTTTTATTAACAGCCATAACCTACCTTGTGGACACAAATGACCTATTCCTGTCATTACTTACTAACGTCACTTTCACATGTGCAGAACTGGAACCATCATTCAACCGAAATCAGTAGGACTACATTTGTGGGATGTTGATAACATGCACAAATGCTTGCAGGTCTGGTCCCATAGCTCAAGCTTCCTTTGTAGTTTGAAATATGTGTTACAGGGGAGTCTTACAATTTACAACACTGGTGTACCAAAACCTTTACTTCCTAAAACTCAGCTTCTTCTGTTGCAAACATTGTCAAGCTCTGAGTTAAGCTAATGCCTCCATTTGGAACTTTCTTTAATATTTTATAATATATAAAGGAAATAAAATATATGTATATGACCTCTACAACTCTCCTTGCAACATCCACACTCAGAACCAGCTTAGCACAGAAGGTAGAGATGATAATGCAAGTGATTCTCACAACAGCTAGTAAAGCATATACTTTAGATCCTCCGCTGCAACATTAGGGGGGTGTTGCTAACAATACATGTGCTAACACTGACAGATCACTTTTTTAAATAAAGACTGTCTGCGCGTTAAACTGTGTAAAAGCGTTTTCCTGTTACAAGTCAAACGATTTACTGGACCAGGTTCAAGTTTTATTCTAAATACATAATTTTTTAAGTGTAACTAAAAGCTGTATTTTCCATTAATGTGTTTCTGCATTGACTAGCTGGCTCCTTTTTAGAATATTAACTGTTTTCTGTATTTGACTTGTTGGATACAATATTTCAATTATTTTAAATGTGAAATTTCCAATTGCCAACACTGTATAATAAAATTAAAAAAAAAGAAAAATCACACTGTTCACTATTTTCTTAACAACTCTTTTTGTTTTACAATTCCCAACAGATCAGGTACAAAGCTATTGAAGTAGGGAAACTAGCTAACGGGAAAAGGAAA